GAGCTGCACTACCTCCCAGAACAGGTATGTATGTTGTATTCCCATGCAAACATAGCTAACAAGTGCAGATACCGTCCATCATGTCGATGCTCATCTTCCAGAATTCGCGCCGCCAACTCCTCTCCACACTTATGGACCGCTTCGAGGCCGCCAAAGACCACCGCGAACAACACAAGAAGGATCACAAGCCTGAAGGCGACGCCGAGGAACGCAGAATCAACAATCTGCTCAAGGCTATTGAAGCCGCGGATAACGAGTGTAAGAAGCTGGAGTATTGGAGCGATATCAAGGATCTGACAGAAGAGGGCAAAGCCGGGAATGCAACAGATCCCAGCATGGGGTGGGACGAAGAGAAGTGGCAGGGACTAGATGCGAGTGGCGCCAAGCATCCTGATACCTGAGTCTGAGAACTTGAGAAGGTTTGGATGCATGCATATATTGGAGTTTGTCAGAGTTCGTGGGGTGCGGCTCTTCAAGGTCAGCACATCGGGTCAATTGGAACGACTAATCAGTTTTCGTATTGTATCGCAACTATACATGCTATCGTCAGCAAGAGTATCCAGCCATACGGTGTTATATCATCCATTCACATTCCTCACTCTTATCGGCCCTCTGAGATCCGCCAAACTCTCCACGTCCACTACTGCGCCCTTCTGCATTACTTCGACTTCCCCAGCCTCTCTCTTTTCCCACACCATCTTTCGTACATCATCCATGGTGTCTCTCCACTCTGACGCGTCCAATGCACACAGCTCCTCTGTTGACAGTGCGCGGGCAATTTCGGAAGGACAGATCGTCTTGGGCCAAGCCCTTGAGCTCAATAGACGGTCGGCATGGCGCGATAGGATGGTTCTCTTGGCGTCATCAAGAGCCATATTGTTTGTGCAGCTGGCGAATACTGTGTGCCAGCTAACGGATTCGATGTGCCGATAATGCTTGGGTTGTTTCGCAGCGATATTGTGAGGCTGCACCGTCTCGATGGTTTCACCCAGATCTGGTTGCTAGACCCATCGCCCGCTGATCGACAACAGGGGTCCAAAGATCCTTAGCCAATCCTTTGACGTCAGAGCGCCCAATCGGCGCGCAGCAGAAGCAAAATAATTCGAGCATTTCAGCGTCGCGTCCCCTCCCTTCTAAAACCGAAACTGCCCGCAGCACTGGGATTGGCGTTTTGCCTTTGCGCGTCGTTTTTTCTTGTCCTGTCATGCCGCACCGGTTACCCCACGCTCTCCGAGAGCTAGTTGCAGCGGGGCAGTCCTTCGCTCCCGCCTCTCGTCTCTTATCAAGCTCAACAACGCTACTGCATACTTCTTCTCCGATATCTTCTCTATTCCATCAGACTTCCCTGCGTACCTGTCATACTGGACGTGCAGCATCCCTCTTGCAAGCATCCAATCCACAGAGTACTACCGCCAAACGAAACTTCTCGTGGCCCAGAATGACTGGAAAGGAAGAGCCAAAGGAGGTGCGCAAGTACCTGCAGCAGAGCCATGACCGCATCTTTGAAAACAACAAGAAATGGGCCGATGAGATGAGGAACAAAAACCCAGGCTTCTTCAAGGATCTGAGTGCAGGACAAGCACCCGAGTATCTATGGATTGGTGAGTTGCATCTGGAATGACTCGATTGCCCTACAACACTACTCCATTATCACACCCACCACCTAGAACTTGCTAACCCAATAACTACAGGTTGCTCCGACTCCCGCATCCCCGCCGAAGCCATCACCGGTCTCGAGCCCGGCGAGATGTTCATCCACCGCAACATTGCCAACCTCGTCAACAACATTGACCTCAACGTCATGTCCGTCGTAAACTATGCGGTCCGCCACCTCAAAGTTAAGCACATTGTCGTGTGCGGCCACTACGGCTGCGGTGGTGTCAAGGCCGCCATGACACCAAAGGACATGGGTCTGCTGAACCCTTGGCTCCGAAACATCCGCGATGTCTACAGACTGCACCAGAAGGAGCTCGACGATGTTATGGCCAATGGCGGCACAGAGGAGGAGAAGTACGACAAGCTCGTGGAACTGAATGTGTACGAGCAGTGCCGGAATGTGGTCAAGACAGCGGCTGTGCAGCAGTGTTGGGCTGAGAACGAGTTCCCTGTTGTGCACGGCTGGGTCTTTGGATTCGGAGACGGATTGTTGAAGGATCTCAAGTTCGACCATGAGGGCGAGCTCAAGGAGATTCAGAAGATTTACGATTTGACAAAGGACATGTAGATGGCGTCAGTGGGTGTGCGGTGTATGAGTAGTTGTCGTGGCATTTAGCGAGGTGTTGGTGTAGAGGAAGTGGAAGAGATGGTGCTGCAACCGGGCTTAGATGCTAACGTAGAGCTAGTTACCTGAATCTCCCCAGTACCTTTCTAGGTACCATATGGGTTTACACACTAGTCTTGCTGGTTCACGCCAGTCCCTCCACGTCTCTTCACCGCAATCAAACCCCAGCGCCTTGCGTAAACGGGAATGAGTAAACGAGTACGACATGGACTGTTTCGCTTACGATGCCATTCATGCATGCTCTCCAAAGAGAACGACATAACCCGATCCAGGCCCACCTCCATCGTTTCCTCGAACACGATCACTGATCTCTGCCATTAACCCAACCTGTTGGTAACACCAATCCAGAATATCGTTCCACCGGCTATCACAGCCCTCGAGCTGGCAGGCCAACTCCTCTACAATCCTCCTCCCAGAATATTGCATCCACCACATATCCTCCAAAATACAATTAATCGCACCCCAACAGGCTAATATAACCAGAGCTGGCACCTGCCCCATGTCCGCCTTTTGAAAGAACTCCGGCTCCACAGTACCCAACCAAGGAACCACCGAATGCCCATCACTATCCATGTACGCCTTCTCCAGTTTCTCCAGGGTACCACGAAAGAACGGTGTCGCAGCATCATCAAGATCCATATTCGCAAGTATAGCATCCGTCAACGCGCGTAGCTTCTCCGCCGTGAACGCCCTGCCTTCTTCTCCTACCAACTCAACAACAGGACTGCCAAGTATCTGCTTCAACTCCCCGCTATTAGCCCACACACTATGCTCCTCCACAATCTCCTTCATACCCATCGTATACCTCCTCACACGCATTAGTACCTTGGACACAGATTCCAACGTCTCACCCGGCGTGGCCGGAATCAGACTCGCGATAAGCGCGACAACAGCATGAAGAGCAGTCATAAGACAAACCGGATCGAGACTCTCTTTCGAAATACAAGACAGCGACACCTGCTCATTAAGCTCGGATATACTTCTGTTCTGGTAGTGCAGTGCGGTGGCGACGTGGTCGTGGGATGCGGTGGGGGAGGAAGCGAGACTGGCGCTGTGGAGGGAGGTGAAGGCGAGGAGTATGTCTAGTAGGTAGGTGTGTTGGAGCGCTTTGGTTACGGCGTAGTCGCGGAAGACGAGCGCGTTGCGGTGCACGGAGGTGAGGTAGGTGGTTGTGGTCCATTGGTGCATGAGCCGCATTTCGAGCGTTCGGGTCGCATTGTAGGTGGCTAGGCGGGAAGATGGGCCGCTGTAGGCATCGTAGAGGGAATACCAGCCGGGTTTGGTTGGTATAGGTGATCGTGGTGGTGATGACGATGATGATGATGATGATGCCGTTGTTAACGCCGTCTTCGCTTTCCTTCTAGACCCAGTAGAAACATTGTGTGTTGGGTAGGTGCATTGTTCTTCTCGTAGAGCACAAGCTCCGCATTTGGGTGTGGCTTCGTCGCATTTGACGCGCCGTCGCTTGCACGTGTCGCATCCAGCCCGTGACTTTCTGTGGTATCGTTTCACTGCCATTCGGGCTCAGTCTCGGCACTCGCATACTCGTTTCGCGTTAAATGTGGTAAGTTGTCATGCGCTTGGGGATTCTCGCAAGGAGACGGCATAGCTCAGGTGTGCTGCGGGGGCAAGACTTGTTGGTGCCTGGCCTGGTGCCAAAAGGAAGCCTAATTTGGTAGGTTGACGCTAAAGATGCCGATCAAAAGAGGTACTCGTTCTCGTTTACCGGTCCTGCACCGGAAGCTTAACATCCGCCTTGCCGAAGTAGTCGTGCTCCAGAAGGACAAGGCAGGATTACTAGCGATCACATCGGCAGTGCTCCTAATGCACGCAAAAGCAAGCATACAATTCGTTTGGTCGTTTGTCCTGATGAACTACCATCTCGCGAGGTCGGCTATGCCGCCATTGCCATCATAGTGGAATTGGCAGGGCGTTGACGCACCGCCTGCCATCGCAGCTAACGAAACATGTCGTATATAAGTAATGTTGTCGCAGGCACCATTCTACTGTACACCTTAGAGCGAGTCACCACCTGTTTCAACATCCAATCCCTATCTCGCACGAACCGTGTCATTTCTTGAACAAGATGTATTCTGCTTTAGGTATGTTGAGTCCGATCCATTCGACATGATCTCTGTTTCTGACAGCCCGAACAGCGCACGGATTGGCTTGTTCAAGCCTTGCACAACCCTACCTCGATGGCACGGCAATCACCAAGTTCACTGCAGAGCCCAAGACGCAATGGACACCAGAAGGCTCGCCTATCCCAGCCGAACAACTTGTGCCGCTTCTTGGAGTCTCCTCGTACAACATCTCCTACTGCCGTGTAGAGATGGCCTACACCCATCCCGGTCAGAACGACACGATCAACCTGCAGATATGGCTGCCGGAGAAGTGGAACGGACGCTTCAATGGTGTGGGAGGCGGCGGCTGGCGCGCTGGTGTTTTCGATCAGAGCCTACTCCCGGCCATTATTCAGGGATATGCGGCAGCTTCCACTGACGGTGGCCACAACGCAACTGAAGTCTCCGCTCTTCCTTGGGCACTCAAGTCTCCGGGTAATGTTGATGTGGTTGCTTTGCAGAACTTCGGTTCTGTTACTTTGAACGAGCTCTCTATATTCGGGAAAATGGTTACCGAGAGCTTCTATCAGAAGGCTCCCGCTTACTCTTAGTATGTATGACCCTGACACTGCGGTTCTCCCCGTGGTCGACGCTTCATGATGTGTCTGGGATGGACAGTGGCTAACAAAAGACACAGCTGGACTGGGTGTTCCCAGGGTGGTAGACAAGGCATGATGCTGGCTCAACGTTACCCTGAAGCGTTTGACGGTATTATCGCTGCAGCACCCGCACTGAACATCATCCCACTCTTGGCCAGCTTGTTCCATGCTCAAGCTGTAATGAACACGCTCGGCGAATACCCGCCCAATTGCGAGTTTGAAGCGATAGGGGCCGCCGCGATCGCCGCTTGCGATGAACTGGACGGCGTCAAAGACTCGATCATATCCATCCCGGAGTTGTGTTCTTTCGACCCATTCACCGTGGTCGGTCAGCCCGCCAACTGCGGCAATAGCAGCTCGAATGTCATCTCCAACGCAACAGCAACGGTAGCCAACGCTACATGGTATGGTATCTCCGACAGACGGGGAAAGAAGATCTACCCAGGATACGCGTTCGATGCACCCCTCCAGGCAACGACCGACACGGATTGTCAAGCCTCAGGTACCTGCCTCACCACCGCTGCCTGGCTACTCGGCGCACAGTGGTTCCAGCTTTTTGTCGAGAAAAACGCTACCTTTGACTGGTCTGTAATCACCGCGGAGCGTCTACCGGACTACTTGTACGCCGGCCAGCAGCAGTGGGATTCGATCATCAACACCAACGACGCGGATCTCTCAGACTTCAAGGAGGCAGGAGGGAAGTTGCTCACCTGGCACGGCATCGCAGATGACCTAATTCCTTCGGGTGGGTCAACACAGTACTATGACCGTGTAGCCGCGCTGGATGCCGATGTGGATGAGTACTACAGGTTGTTCCTTGCGCCAGGCCTTCACCATTGCGCAGGTGGCCCTGGTCCTGCACCCGTCAATAATGCGCTGCAGCAACTTGTCGCTTGGGTCGAAAATGGTACAGCTCCAGACACCCTACCGGCAGTTGGAACGCAACCTGTCAATGGAATAGTGCTGTCGAGGGACCTTTGCCCTTACCCGCTTGTATCTGTTTACCAGGGTGGTGCTGCGACTGATGCCTCATCATACAGCTGTGTTAATGCGGAGAATGTGTAAGGAACGCGCAGATATTTGTGCGTTAAAGCGTATCGTGAGGTGGATGATCAAGGGGGCAGGTATGATCATGGTCAAGTGGAAATGCCTGGTGAGCTTGTTGATGCATTTTAGGACGCTTTGTGCCTGTAGGATATGAGCAGATGTACTTGAATACAGACCATTGCAAGAACTCTTGAGACGATGTACATTCCCGCTAATCAGTCAATATCGTTCTCTAATTCGGACCTGATGCGGTTCGAGGTTTAGCTAGTCCTATTTTGGAGTTGAGTGTTGATGATCGTGTCAGGCTGTGGGCACCGTTTGTGGTTAATGTGAATGGGACTCTGCTGGCGGAGGCTGGGACGCTACCCAAAACGGAGGTATGTCGCGAGGCACAGCCATACACTCTATCGCTCTTTCAGTACATGCGACTGTGTAAGCACACCGTTCCTAGGCTAATGCGAGCTGGAATCCTTCGCCCCAAGGATGGTGTTGTTGCGACGAGAGACGGAAGGAACAGGCCAACGCCCCTGCCGCGGACTCAGTGGCGAGATGACCGAAATGACCGAGCACCGAGCCGCTCCACAGAACACCGACGGTTGCCTGTCCATCTACCAGCAACCATGTTAGAATCCTTGAATGCTGTATACGACTCTTACTACGCAGTCAAGATAACTGCGACCAATTCTCTTGTATTTGTGAGCCAAAATGGTTGAGCAACCTACCATCCAGTCCGCAGACACAGATGGCAACGGACCAGCGAAACGTCGACGAAGACCAGCACTATCATGCGTCGAATGTCGCATGCGCAAGGTGAAATGCGATCGAGGAAAACCTTGTGGTGCATGCACTAGGATCAAATCAGCGACATGCACGTTTAGACCTCCACGTCCGGGGATTCGGTCAGAAACCCAAAGGTCACCCGAGGATGATGTCTCTACAGGCCGCAGCAACGACCACGACCAAAATCCGGCTCGGTCTTCTCTTCCGACGCCCGAGCTTCCCAGTCAGTTTGATGCAATCGTCAATCGTTATGTGGCACCCGGGCTTCTTGGAGAATGCGACGGCCAGGCGAAGCCTCTGCCCTCCAATAGACCGGCTTTTAGCTTGAACTCGCACTCGGACTCTGCGCAAGCTTCTATCATCAACAGCTTGTTAGATAGGATTCAGGGTCTGGAAGAACGACTGGCAAGCGCTACTTTGAACGATGACCCAAGGACTAGTACGTCGCTGGGACGGGAAAGCGCAAGTGACACAAGCGCCCAGTTTGTAAAGGCAAAGTACTATGGTCAGAGTCATTGGATGAACGCTATCGACCCTGTAAGTGATGATAGCGATGATTTCCTTGTCGGGGTGTGTTTGTTCGAAGGGAGTTTGACTGACGGGTAATAGTATGACGCTCTCGGTGATACAAATACTACAACGAACTACAATACGAACAGGAAAGAGGTGTATGTCATTTTGTCAGTCTTTCTCCAAAGACAGTAAATCTAATTGCAGTATATAGGAACAAATCGACTGAGTTGTATGCTACTGTCTCAGAGGTCAAACGAATGGCTCGCATCATCAAGGCCTCTCGCATGTCGCAGCCTTCCATCTCTCCAGAACTGCAGGCGTGCATCCCTCCGAAAGAAATCAGCGACGCACTGGTCGACTGCTATCTCCGTACCTTCGAAGGTGTGTTTCGTGTACTGCACGTACCTTCCTTCAGAAGAGTCTACGATGCATACTGGCTCGGTACCACGCCTGCAAAGCCGTCCATTATTCACAAGTTTCTACTGGTATGCGCAATCGCCGTGCCGTTTTACACCGGGCCCGACCAAGCCAAGCTTCGCGTCTCAGCTGCGAAGTGGATTCAAGCTGCAGCGGAATGGCAGTGTGCACCTCATGCAAAGTCGCGGCTCAACATGATAGGATTGCAGATACAGATATTGATTCTCATTGCACGTCAAGTATGTGGCATTGATGGTGACCATATATGGATACCTGCAGGTACAATGTTGCGGACGGCGATGCATCTTGGCTTACATCGCGACCCGTCTCACTTCCCAAAGATCAGTGTCTATCATGGCGAGATGCGACGAAGACTTTGGGCGACTGTTCTGGAAATCACTGCGCAAAGCAGCTTAGATATGGGCATGCCGCCTATGATCTCGGTGAACGACTACGATACGAAGCCACCCTCTAACATCAACGACGAAGATATGGGAAACGGCATAGACACACCACTCGATGTGAAGCCAGCAACCGTATTCACGGACAGCAGCATACAGATTGCTTTTACACAGACGCTTCCCACACGCCTTGAGATCATTAGGGTAATAAACAACCTGCGCTTCGACCTATCATATGACGACGTACTGCGTATCGGCACCAAGCTCATCAGCGTCTGTCGCGAGAAAACGATCTTCTTCAAATCAGCATTAGCAGCAGGACAAAACATCACGCCATTCCAGATCAAGATGTCTGATACCCTAGTCCGACGCTTCGTCCTCTGCCTCCACCGCCCCTACTTTTCCAAAGCAAGCGAGAACCCACGCTATCATTACTCCCGGAAGATATGCCTAGATACTTCACTAGCGATCTACGCACCAGCAACCGAGTTGTCACCGGGAGAAGAAGACGACTGGACGCGCATGACGCACCGATGCGTGGGGTTCTTCAAATCGTTCTTTCTCTACGCCATGTCGACCGTATACTACGAACTCAACTCTCAGATCAACGAAAGAAAAGAAGAATTGGCGCTGTTCGCTCCTCTTCTATCTACACGCCCAACCACAGCATCCTCATCTACAGGGTTGACATCTTTACCACCACAGTACCACGCCCTACGTCAAGTCCTAGAATCATCCCAACACACAGCAGTCGCCCGCATCCAAAATGGCGAAACAAATGCAAAGGGTGTCGTCTTCATTAACTGCGCACTAGCACGCATCGACGCTTTGATAGCTGGCACCGACCCTGAAGCAGCTGTGCTCGAAGCAGCAAAGTCATCCACCAAAGAAATGAGTCAGATACTGGCAGCAGTATACCGTGAAGAGCACGGCGAAGACATCGACCTCAGTCCCTCCACCAGCAGCTTCGCAGGGAAAGAGCATGGTCGAGGCGAGGGCGCTGATGATATTACCGGGAAGCATCTACCTACTGGTACCGGCGCCCAAACCGGCAGCAGCAACAGTACAGACTTTTCTTGTTTCGACGGCACGATGGACGGACTGAATATGCTGGATAGCGATCTGGGAGATGTGAACACGGGGTTTGATATCGATATCAATGCATACATGCAGGGGTTACCCATGGATTCAGTGGATGGTTTTCACTTTGGAAGGAGTCCGGAGTGGTTCTATGATCTTGATGGGTGGGCTGCTGGTAGTAGTTTCGGCAACCCTGGATATGGTGTTTGAGGCGCATGTTGGCTGCACGTCAATTGTACCTGCATTGTCTATTTTCATGCGCGCACGACCGTAGGTGCTAAATGCATCTATCGACAGCGAGTCCTAAATAATCACAAAAGTGGATTAAAATCCAAGACTTCGCAGACCAGGAGACATTCGCGCCCACGTGGGCGCTAAAAACGGCACACCTTGCCTTAGCGGGGTTGGTGCGCATGTCTTAGAAAGCTACCTTTCTCGCTGCAACATCTCAAACATCAGTCATACCATCTCTTTAAGCATCTTCGACACCGCTGACTACGTTCGTACCCGCCAAAATGTCACCCATATCGCGCATGGCGCGCCTCCTCCTCATCCTCCACTCCATCGTCAACATAGCCCTCGGCATCTACCCGTTCATCAACCCAGAAGAATACTCTGCGATCACCGGTATGGAGGGTCCAGATAAAACGCTACAATCGATCGGTAAGTCGAGAATGAGTTTCAATGTATACCCAACCCTGGACTAACGAGAGGGAAAAAAGGTCTTGGCGCAGTAGCAGTAGGCTGGTACCAACTCATCTTTACCTTCCAGGGTAATCGTCGCATGATGGCTTCGACCATTCCGCTGAGATTGGGGTTTGCGGCTGTCATGTATGGGTGGGAGAGGCAGCCTGTTATGATCTACGAGTTGATTGTTGTGTGGTTTTGTTTATTGGGGGTGTTCGCTTAGACACAGAAGAGGCGGAGAGAAAGAGAAGCATGATTGTGGGACAGACGAAGGATGGGAAGAAGCGGGAGACAGCTGAATGATGATGATGATGACCTATCAGAGTCAAGGGGTTTGATCTATGAGATAACCGATTTGTTATCATCGAGTTGCATACAAGCAGATATATCATCTACACACACGCTCCATACAACCCTTCTCCTTCTCAGTTCCTCCACCTATGCATACCTCAACTCCACTTCACACTCCCCCCAGCCTTCCCATCCAACCCCCACCCGCCATACGTATCCACAAACCCCTCTCTAGTAAGATACTCCTTGTGCTCCTCGCTCCTCCACGCGAGCGCAGTCCCCAACTTCCAACTCGTATCCATCTTATCCAGCACGAGTTCCACAAGCTGGACGTTCTGCGGGTTTTGCAGCTGCGGTTTCTCTAGGATGGCGGAGAGTTCTGATAGGGTGGTTGCGTGATGGAAGGAAGATGAGGGGTCTGGGTGGCGGTAGAGTGGCAGGAGGTGCGAGTAGTTGTGCGGGACGATGTCGTTGTATGCTGTAGGTGTGTGCGGTTAGTTCGGTGTCGCGTTAAATGTAGAGAAAAGGAGGAGACTTACGTTGCCTCGCCCCCCAAATCAACCTCTCAACCGTATACCCCTCATTATTAATCACAAAAACAATCGCCTTACACCCCGCCTTGATCATCGTCCCAATCTCCTGAATCGTCAAAGCCATGCTTCCATCTCCCGTCATGAGAATAGTCCGTCCCTCTCCTTTCTTGTCGAGCTCCCTCCGCGCTATATCCACACCTAGCGTCGCAGCAGTAGCAAACCCGATACTGCCATAGTAGATCTGCGTAACGAGTCTGATGTCAGACGGGAAATCAATGTCACAGAGACCGAAATTCGAGGTTCCGGTTTCGCTGACGAGAGCGTCGCCTGGGCGGATGAAGGATTGGATGGCGGGCCAGAGTTGGGATTGCGTTAGGTGGGCTGATTTGGCGTCGAGGGGTGTGCGGGGTGGTGGGAGTTGTGGTTTGGGGATTTTGTGTTGGGGGGTTGATGGTAGGGCGGTGGTTAGAGCTTCGAGGAGGGCTTTGATGGGTGTGTTGGGGTAGGATTTGCCTTTGACCTAGGAAGTATGTCAGCAATAGACGTCAGATGAGGTATGCGAGGGACTTACAACAACGTCGTGTGGGTTGATGTGGATGGTGTTAGTCTCGTCCAACGGTCTTGAGAAGCCAGCCGAGTTCGTGTCAGCAGGTATGTACCCCAGAGTCACTACCAAGTCTGCCTGTTTCGCTGCTTCTTTGACGCCCGGAGAACTGACTTCGCCGTTCCATACCCCAACGAAGTTCTCTTCTGTCTCATCGACAATGCCCTTGCCCATGGTTGCTGAGAAGAAAGGAACGTTTAGCTTGCGGACTACCTGCGCAGCTTCCTGGACAGCGTTGAAGCGATGGACGAGAGCGTCTACCAGTACCGTTGGCTGTTTAGCTTCAGCGACTGCAGCCACGATAGCTTTGACCGCTTCATCCCGAGCCTTCTCATCCACATGCGGCGCAATATCAAGGGGAGTTTCCAATAACCCAGCATCTACCATCTCGGCACTCAGATCCAGCGGCAAGAAGATGTAAACAGGCCCACTCTTGATAACGCACTCCCGTAGCACCCTATCAATCTCCTTCGGTGCATCTGCAACATCCCAGAGTTCTGCAGCCGCGAACCTCAGCCCCTCGCTAGCCTTGTTGTACATTTGGTGATTTGGCTTGTTTCCAATACTGTGGTGGATCATCATGTTGTTCTTCTGCATGGCCCGCGTAGTTTGCCCAACAACATGGACAACTTTAACGTGTTCACTCATGCTACCTGCGATGCCGTTCAAAGCCGAAAGTTCACCCACACCATGCGTGGTCACGAGACATCCGGGCGTGTTCTTGATGCGGGCGTATCCATCGGCGGCGTAGGCAGCGTTCAGTTCGTTTTGGTTGGTGACAAAGGTCAATCCTGGGGTAAGGTAGATGGAGTCCAGGAATTGCAGGTTGAAGTCGCCGGGTACACCGAAGATTGTGTCGACACCAATTTGGTGGATTCGCTCCCACATGTAGCGGCCGAGGGTTATCTTGCTGTTATCTGCCATGATGGGCTGTCCTCTAGCTCTTCCTCCTTTCGAGTATTGTAGGTATCAAGTGATTAGTTAATACCTCTGAATCCCACGGCTGTTAGTTGTGTTGTTCGTATGTGTTGTAACCCTTGCGCAGATATAGTCGCGACAAGCTTACCGTGCGCTGTGCCGAGGATTCCGAACGAGGCAGATACGTAAGCAAGTCTTAGAAGAAGAGCAGGAACAGCACGGAACACGGACGCTAAACACCATAACATTCACATGATGTTAGCCTCTGTCTAGGGCGCGCGTAAGGCGTATGACAGCCGCGGTTCGGTTGGAGACGGTTAGCGGAGTAGTACAGTGCGGGGAGATCGGCTCAAGATCGGAATGATATCGGAAACAAATAGCTGCGATTAGAACATGACAACTAGAGCTTCAAACGGAAAACACCTCGTAAACGATGCTGAAGTTCCTTGATAGCTTGAACCTCTACCGATCACGCGCTTTCTTCTGTCGTCCCCGCAACGGAGTGCTTCTTTGCATCCTCGAAGCTCGCCATCTTGAAATCGTACGGCAGCTCAAAGTCTGCCTTCGGATCTCCCTCAAAAGGATTGAAATCTACAAGAAGGGAATCTTTGACCGCAAAAACGGCATCGTCGTCGATGTACTTGCTCGTTCGGTCGAAGATCTGAGTAACAATAGGTTTGTAGCCCGGCGCTGTGAGCTAAGATAAGTTAGCACATCAGGCTGCACGTTCGTCATAGGCTTCACATACCAGGAAGTGTATATGTGCCGGCCGCATTGGATGCCTATCCAGCGCTTGCAACACTTTGCCTGCTGGTCCATCGAAAGGTATGGGGTAAGGTACTGGCCTCAAGCAGTAGAAGCTATACTTGCCGTCCTTGCCCGTCGTGAACCTACCTCTGAGATTCATCTCTGGCTGGTCTGGGTCTTGTTGTTCGTATAAGCCATTCGGCGCCGTATGCCATACGTCCACCACCGCGCCCTCGATAGGCTGCCCGGTTCTAAAGTCCGTGACGATGCCGTGCATCAATGTTCGATCGCCTTGCTCATTTATCTCTTTGGAGACGATGCAGGAGCCCATGGGCAGTTTCGGGGCATCATGGCGGTAGAAGGGGCCTAGGATGGCAGTCGCGGTGGGTTCGTCGGCGGCAGTAGAGGCGAGCTTGTACGTGATCTCGTCGACGAGCGATTCGAGGCCGAGGATGTCGCAGAGCAGTTGACCTTCGTTGCGTTTGGCGTCTGACATGCGACCTGCTGCATTCATCTGCCCATCGTTTAGTATGCTGAGTTATATCTCACAATATCAAACATGGAAAGCTCTCTGACGTACCAACTCAACTCCTGTCATCCACTCATCGACTGTGAGTTCATTCTCCCTCGCAAAGTCATGGAGATGCCGTATTAATCCCGCTGTGAGCTGTCTGACCCTGGGTGTAGCTTTTGGTCCCGTCGCATTGATTACCGCCTGAGTGAAATTCGGATTGAACTTGTGATCCTGGCTATCCGATACCGCGGAAGGGTGGTGAGCTTGTGAAGCTTGTGTTTCTTCCGGCATGACGTCTTTCCCCACGAGATCCTGAAGATGCAGTAAAGTATATCAAATGACAGAGCTATATTCCCTCTATGCAATTGCGATTAGACCTAAAGTACTGCGCAGTAAGTATGATTCGGATGTTAGCAAACAGCGAACGATTAGCAGTACGATCGAGATCCGACAGCCGGCAGCATGCCGGCCAGTCAAGCACACCAGCGCAAGGCGCATAACTTCAGGGTTCGCCGTTGGCTTGTACTTTCGTACGACATAGCACAGTGGGGCTGTGGAGCGAAGGTGTGTATGGCGTCGATGGTAGACGCAGACGGAAGCTGTTGTCGGTGCGGCTTTCCGACGAAGGTGCGCCTTCCGAGACTGGGATCCTCGGGGCTTGGCCAATGGAAGAGTGACGGGTAGTAAGCATATACGACGACTGTCGTAGGTGTGGTAACACAATCGCGCAGGCTATTGTGACCATGGACGCCTAATTTTCATGTGATGAGTTTTGTATTAAGAAGATTGAGCCAGATCAATGATGACCGTTTTGATCGCAGTAAATGCTACAGTATTGCACTAGCAACTCGAGCTATGCAAAAGACCCAAACGCCTAAAATATGTCTCGATAATGCTAAAAGACGTTCAATCACTGTCATCATCAACCCTGGCGCGCTTGGCTGATCTGCCCTCCGGCTCTTGGATGCCGTAACGCTTCTCTCCTGTCTTCTCGCCCTTTTCACCACGAACTTCGTCAATCATCTGGTTGATGTTGAACGGATCGTCAGTATCCTTCTCGAATTGAACTGGTCCGTCCCGGGCTTCTTGCAGATCCGCACCCTTGAAGCCCTCCTTGGCCTTTCCAAGGACTTCGAACTTGCTCGACTTGGTGATCCGGTCGTAGGTCTGCCCTTCGTCCTCTCCGTCATCCTGCTGTACACTCGGGCGATAGATGCTACTGATAGCATCCTGAGCTGCGAAGAGAGGCTTGTCGTAGTGGTTGTCCTCGTTGAAGCCAGCGTTGAATCCGCTGGACTGGTTGAACAGCCGCGAGTCGTACATGGACTCTCCGCTCTGTGTCGGCTTTGCCAGACCGAGTGCGACCTTTTCAGAAATATCACGATTCTGCTCCCGAGCCAGCATCTGGATCTTGCGCTCGGTACCCATCCGCGACTGACGGAGTTCGCGTTGGAAGTCTTCGCGCCTCTCCTTGCGAGCGTCCATTCGCTTCCGCACTGCCTCTTCTTCTGAATCAGTGTCCGATTCGCTTTGTGACCGTCTTCGGGAGGTGTTGGCGCGCTGTTCTCGTGCCTCTTTCGCCAGGTTTCGCAGGTGCTCCTCCTTTTGTAGCTTCTCCTTCTCTGCTAATCTTTGCTGCATGATCGCACGCTGCTTAACCTCCTCTCGTGCATGTCTGTCGGCTGCCTGCAACGCTTCGCCGAATTGAGCAAACTTGTCGTTGATCGTGATGTCCTGCAAGCCGCGACCATCGGCTGCTAGACGTTTGTCTAGTGGCACTGTGTATCCCTTGGGGTTCTTCCAGTTACTGATTGGGGGTGGGATTTTCCAAAGTTCTTGGTCTTCGGCGGTCAGCTTTCGCGGCGGCGAGTGCAGGACGGGTGGAGGGGGCGATGGTGGTCCGCGAGGAATGCGCTTGTGCTTGAACTTGGGCGGCTCCATGGGATCGATCTGTCTTTGCTGGATCTTGATGATGCGCGTCTGGCCCTGAGCCTGGCCATGCTGAGCTGTGGGTGTATATCTGACGAAGGTCGGCTCGTCGTTCTTCCTGCCCTGTACGTTCTTGGGCCGTTGCGCGGCAGTCTGCCCTTGAACCAGGGCCATGAGGGCCTGCTCAGTCTTCTCCTTGGTTGCTTGGACAACCTCCGCAGAAGGACGCGACAAGTCCAGCTCGCCAGCGTCTGCCTGTTGGCGCAGAGGAATGAGGTCCTTGAAGCTGGCCTGCACAATCCTCGAATCGCCGTGTCCGCGTCGCGCGATCTCGTCGTACTTGGTCTTGCCCTCGCCGTCGACTCTCCTCACAAGCGCGTTGGATGTGGATGGTTGGCCCTTCTTTCCCATGTCGAGCGGGTACTGCGCGACGAGTACTTCCGGAAATGCGCCTCCATCGCCAAAGTCTGGTGATGTCAGTGGTTCTCCCGTGTGTCTTCCATACGTGTTTTGCTTACCTTCAGGCGCGCGGGGCCTCCAGTGCTGCCTCTGGCCATAGGGCGGCGGGCCCTTCTTCGCGACTACTTGCGCTTCATATTGCTCTGCGGTTAGCACGCGCGTGCTGTTGGTGAGCTCCTCCTCTTCGCCCGAGTATTTCGGCTTTGGCAGCGACTTGGATAGAGCTGCAACGGACATGGTCGGTGTAGGCGCGAGGGCAGATCGCGATGCTATGAGGGTTGGGTATCGCGGTTGGCACTGGTGGTGGTGATGATGTTGCTGGGCAAGATTTCATCAGACCCTCGGCGTTCTGGTTCAGCCACCGCCGAGGTCACGTGCGTGTGGCTGCCTACAACATTGGAACACAGCACGTCCACTGTCTACTCTGTTCCCTTTACGATGCAAAGCCAATCAACGAGACGAAGCGCGCAATTCCGTCTGTAATTATGAGACTTTCACTATCGATATAGAATCTGAGCCAGCGAACCTTGTATTGCGCGCGAGATTACAGTGTCTGCTACAGGAGAGAGGATGTCTGGCCTTAATCTTCACGACTCAGGCGCCGGTGAATCTTACCTGCAACTGACATGGGTAAAAGTCCCGTCCGTCGCTGCTACTCGCTTACAACCTGCCGTTGACCAGGATTGCGAATGCAGGAACAGAGTCAGTCAGCACAATGTTTTTGCAGTCACAATCGTGATCTGTTATCTCAGCGGGAGAAGCTTGGAAGTGGTTCCTGCTAACGGCCAAGCGGCGGTGTGCGTTCACCGGACGAAATGAGAGCCAGCATGCTTTTTGGGCCAGACAGCACAATGGCGAGGTAATAATCGCGCAGGTAAAGGTCAGCTTACAGGGAAAGTTAGTCGGGTAGAGGCGTCTTTGACACGCTGGTAGTCGAGAGAGGCGAGCGAGTGATGTGCGATATAGGGTGCGATATAGGTCAAGGCCAGAGCACGGCTAGTCGCTGCACATCATGCCGTTGCTAAGAGACGGTTTCGAAGGCGGCCATTCGTTCCAGAAAGGACTGTGACATCTCGTGCAGAGTGGCCCGGGACCCTAGACGCAAACGGCCAAGGTCAAGATGCTAGGGATCCCCAGCGTCGCAGCATCAACCTCTGAACTTTGAAGAGTGAATTGGCAATATTCAACGGCTCGCGCGCGGACTGTGGGTCGCAAAAGCAGCCATGACGGGCTGAGTATTCTGAAACGTTGTCCGCCATCCCTGTCTGGTGTGCCAGCGCAGGCCTGCAGCTATGCCGACCCATTCTCGGAAATCGTCTGGAGGAGCACCACAACACACCACCACCCAGCGGCGCAACTCTTTGTCGCAGAGCACGCCCCCGAGCAAGCCCACCCACGCCCGCACCAACACGGCCCCGGAGCCGCCCACGCTGTTGCGCCTGCCGTCAGTCAGCGCCGCGTCCGCCCGCCGTCCCCCAGCCTCGCACAGCGGCCATGGCATAGACAACTCGCGCGGCCCTCCCGTCACCCTCGTTACTCGCAGCCGCAGCTCGCAGAACCCCGCCGACTTTGCCTATGCGCAGCAGCAGTTCCTCCAGTCCGGCCTGGTATCCCCCACTAGCTCCCACCCAGGCACATCCCCCAGCGAAGCCCCGCGACCACCACAACAAACAAGCACCGCAGACCCGGCCACCCGCCCCCGACCCCACCCCCGACGAGCCTCGACCAGCAGTGCGAGGCCCCCGCCGCGACGAATGGCGAGCTCCACCGACGAGTCGTCCGAGTACGACTCTGGCCCCCGCAGCCGCATGGAGGACTACCACGCGGCGCATAGCGGACGGGGAGCGCCTGCGCCCGCGACGCCAGGAACAGACGGCGAGAAGGAGGACCTGTTCCTGAACATCGCCGCCGACAGTGCGCCCAAGCCGCCGCGCCCAGAGAACCCGACAGCGCGCGACCGATTGAAGGTGAGCAATGGAGCTACGGTGTGCGCATGGATGGTAGCTAACGACCCAGTCACGAGTCGCCCGCGTCAACAACCGGCAGTCGCTCCCCTCGGCCCTGCAGTCGCCCTCGCCCGTCCAGGTCCAGTCGAGCTTAGTCACACCAACCACCAGCAGGATACCCTCCAGCGCTGCCCTCGAAGCCAGGTCCAGCGGCATACGTCGGTCATCGCTCCTGCCCACTCCCTCCAGATACGAGCGGTCGCCAAACTCACCTGCACCCGAAGCCATACGGACCCGCGACCTCAACCACAAAGCCTCCTTCAGCTCCACCCGACGCGACTCGGAGCTCTCACCGCGCGACTTCCTCGCCCAGTTCTCGAACTCAACGAGACGAGGATCTCAGCCTGAGGTACATCAAACCCCGCCCAGTCGCACCCCGGTTCACCCCTACAGGCCGTCGAACCTGTCACACGAGCCGCGCACGCCGCAGGTGGAGACATCGTTTGAGGCTGGTTCGCGCGCCGACGGTACCGAGTCACATGGCTCTACAGGGCCGGCCGCGTCTGTGTGGGACGAGCTGGACGAGCTCAAGTCCAGGATACGGAAGATCGAGATGGGCGGCAAGATACCCTCGACATCGGGTGCCATTGTAAACCAAGCATCGGCTGAGCGCCCGCGGACGGCCAATACCTCTGCTACGACAGTCTCTTCTTCGCCGAATCAGCAGCGAAAGTCGAATCCGTCGCCTGCCGAGTCGACAGTCGGCACTCACACTCCCAATAACAACAAGACCCATCCTCTGTTGCGCGAAGCTCTCGGTAAAGCTAGACAGTACGTCTCCCCAACTGTCTACCGCAACCTGGAAGCGACTGCAACCGAAGCACTTGCGCTGGCAGAGATGAGCGGCAGTGCAGGGCCGCAGGGCACACTCCATTCTGCTAGCTCCATCATCAACGGCTCTGTCGTCTCAGACCGCCAGGTTCGTCGCAAAGCCGACAACCTCTGTCGCAGTCTCACCGAGCTCTGCATTGCTCTGTGCGACACCAAGACCGGTCTTGCCAGTCCAGCCTTCCGATCCAACACAGCCACACTATCACGTCGGCCGAGTGTACAGATCAATGGCGATTCACCGACTATCCGACAGAGCATCGAACCCGAAAGCAACACGTTATCTGGTGTCAGTCCTAGTAGAGCCATGTCACGCATCGAGGCTCGGAGAACCAGCATGCTTATCGATGACTCCGGCCGCAGCCAAAGAGGTGGCAGCCAGGAACCTTACGACGATAGACACACTCCGTCACGCATGCAACGAGCAGGCACCAGTCTCCACCAGACACGCAACAGTGTGGACGAAGAAGACGAAGATCCAATTTTCCGTGCGCCTTCCCGTGCGATGACCTCCATCGACTTTAGAGCCCGTCACGGTGGTCAGTCAGATCAAAAACGGTTCACCGGTGGCAGACAGTACACCTCCCGCGAACCAATGCCTGATCTACAGCCATCACCCGCTCTTCAAACCACCGCCAGTCTCCGCCGGCCTAGTGTTTCAAGTAGTACGCCCTCCAACGAGCATAGTTTGTTGTTCCGGGAAAACCAAAGCCGCTACGGTCACAACCTAGGCCGTGAAGGCTCACCAGCCAACTACGAGAAGACCCTGACGGGAGGACTACGACCAAGAGCACAATTGAGCGTCGCTCGAAACCCAAACAACAGACACTCAGTCGGTGGTGTTTCCGACATCGGGCGCAGCGTAAGCCTGGGGAGACGTTTGAGGGGAACAAGTATCGGAGAGTGAGCAAAGCAAAGCTCTCGCATTTCTTTGAGCTTGCGTTAATGTTTGACGTCACCCTCATAGTATGCCCAGTCTCCTCTTTGGTCCACGCGCAATGACCCCGCGACTCTCATATTTGAGACCGGATTCGCCATGGGCACACCAACAGAGGCGCACCATAGAACACCGAGTCAGTACAGAGATATAGGGACAGACGCGCACGGAGACATGTCAGAAGGAGTATCTGCTTTATTCAGCCTTGCAAGGCTAAGAAGTCTGTGCGATTTACCACGAAGGAGTTTCTACCAAGCATTGTGAGAGAAAGAGCGTTCTCACGACTTTGCATATTTTGCCATCAAAAGGGGCTAACTACGGAGCATTTTTTTTATCAGCGTTTCTTGCACGTAAGGGGACAAGCGTGTGGGCGCAGGATCGATTCACCGTCAGCATCTCATGATCTCTTTGTCTTTTTTTCCGTTTGCCGTTTTCGTTAGTTCCATATACCAACACCAGATCGTGTTTTTCCTTGCTACTTCTTCTTTCCATTCAGAACGTGAGTGTTGAAACTTCGTGTACATATATCAAAATCGCCTTTTCCTCTGTGAATATATACATCAGTTACGAACCCCTTTTGTGCATCTATGAAATGAAGGCTGACACAATGCTCAAGGTTACGGCTCCACCTTCGCAGACCGAACTCTAGGAACGATACGCAATGCCCACACTTTCACTGCTTCGGCGCGTCTGATATGGCCAGGCATCTGCGACCTGGAGTCATTTTGGGTGAATCCCACGAATATAATGAAGAAGGTCTACTGCAGGCTACGAATCGGACCCTCGCAGCATTGTTCATTGCTGGCTGTTAACTGGACGAGCCGTCGCTTGTCGGTAATACTGACCATTCACAAAGGCCTTGTAGTTAATTGCAAGATATATGTGGGCGGTTCCCCCATATTCTTTGGATGACCCACACCCGAACGCAGGCAACCATGGAACGAATGTGCCGTACATACCGAAATGTCTGAATCGCATGGTATTCATTTGAGTTCAGGACCCCTTCTTCTGTTCACCGCTGACTTCGCCTTATCTGAATGCCCTGGCATCCCTGAATCCGTGCTGTGAAACAATCACGCTCTTTGCGCTGGAGCAAACAGTGTTTAAGAGCGCACCGACCCGCATTCACTTTCCATGGACCTTTTTTGTTGTGGGTTTATGACGCAGCGCCGCTCACGCCGTTCTTCGAGTGCTTCTACTGCGACTCTTGACCACGACACCACCCCAGCAAATACGCCTTTTGGTCAGCCCGCAACTCGCAATCCGCACACGACCGACACAGACTTGCACTCGCCTTTGGATTCAACTGCAGCAAACTCGCCATCAAGCGCATCCGCCACCGCTTTAGCGCCTGAGCCAGCAGTGTTTGTCAATTCGCAGGCCTTCGCAAACGCCGCCGTTACGCGAATCCCCACCACTTTCAAGCGCACACACTCCCCATCGCCAAGTCGTAGCATTCCACTCAGGAAACAACGTTGCGGCGCCGTTGCGATGTCAGACGAAATTTCTGAAGAGCGCGCGCCTGCCCAGGTTGTCGCCCAGGCCGCGCCTACCGCACCGGACGAGGTGGACACACTGACAGACTCACCATCCACAGTACGGGCAGAAACTGTCAGATCCTCATCACCAGCCGAGCCGGAACCTCTTTGTTCGAATGTCGTGACTGCATCTGACGGCGATGCTAACTCTCATTCAAGCATAGGTTCACCTGCGGTCGGCATCACACCACAGACCGAGACGCAAGGTCTGGTATCCTCGCCGCCACACAGCGATGAAACTATGGCTTCACAATATCAGGACAATGCGCCTGACTCTGTGCAGTCACCGGAGGAAGAGCACGTCGACAACAACCGCCCTCCTTCCCCGCGCTCAAATCAAGACCACACCGGCGAGATGTCCACGACGCCGCCAGTCACACCGCCACACACGCCTTCCATGGACGAAGAACCCCAGTCTCCAAGTTCATCGGTATCGTCAGATTGGTGGACTGAATTAGGTGTTCCACCGCCCCCACCGAAATCCAACACGGTCATGCCGCCTGATCGAGCGGTCTCTTTTACAGACATCTCCGAATCACTCGCTAAGCGAAAGATGCAACGCAACATCTTCTCGAAGACACGTGGGTTGATAAAATATCAAGCGGCCAAGATATTCATCATCTCTTCTCGCGGTGTTCAACGTGAGAATCTGCCCACAAGGCAAACAAGACCCCCTCTGTTGAAGCGCCGCTATAGCGTCGATGTGAATACTACCACCGAATGGGAGCAAGAAACAAATCACTGGGAATTTGCATTATCTCAGGTAAACAGTCACCAGAAACCTGTCTTTAGTGGGCACTTCACTGACGTTACAAAGACATTTGACATCCCTGAGCTACCACACAAGGAGGTGGATCCGCTACCCGCTCTTACACATTGGGTGCAACTTCCTCATCCTGCCCGACATACTGCTTTCGCCTCGGTCTTCTTTGGTCAGCCTACCCACAACGGAGGAGTGTTCCTTGAGCTGGGTGATGTGACCCTTCATAACGACTCCTTCAACTATATTGGCGCTACCAACAGTCGGATATATGGTGCGGAAGTATGGATGCGTGACGAGAGTCTAGACATGGCTCTTGAAGTGCTTCGCCGCGAGTACAACGGCGACGCTCACAAAATCGGCATCGCCAACTCCACCGTGGCCCAGATTTGCTACTTCGCCCAAATGTCAGGATATACTGCGGAATACGAACAGTATAGGTTACGTTACGCTGACAAGAATTGGATCTTCATCGTCATCAACGATGGCATCGGCGGTGTCGAAAACGATGGCCACAGTGGATTACACTGGTCTCTCGCCATTCTGGATCGGATTTCCAAGAAATGCTATTATATTGATTCGCTGTTCGTCAGACTGGGATTCTATCAAGACTTAGGCCGGGATGTGTCTATGGGAATGCTCCATATTCTTGATGAAGACCCAGAGGATTGGAAGTACCTCCCACAATGGAACAGTCCCGATCAAAACACCAACAACAGGTTCAAAGAAGATGGAGGTGCATGCGGACCATTTGTATACAAAATGTGTCAGATTTCCATGGATGCAATCACGCGCCGTCATCTGGCAGGGCTGGAGACCTGCGACCTTGAACTCAAGCGCTGGTTTCCTGAACAGTTCGAGTCAGAGTTCCATTCGGAGCAGGTTCGCTATGAGATCCAGAGCAAAATCGCTCGTTGGGCACACAGAGAGTGGTCTTCAAGACTGGCGAATGACTGGGACTACGCGCTTATCCAGGGCACAGACGCCGTCCTAGATGACGGACCAGTCGTCGCATTCGAGGCCCCGGCCCCGGCTTCCAGATCACATCACTCGGGACGGAATGTCCCCAGCGGTAGCAGCTCCCGATCCCCCATCATCCTGGACGACGACGATGCGAACTACGCTGTCCACGGCAACAGGAGGGATAGCCTGGACAGCAACGTTGCGTCCGCGGGTGGTGATACGTCAGTCGTCGACCTGGGTGAGGACTCTGATAGTACCTGGATGGTGTCAGACGACGACATGAACCTGGATGACGACGACGAGGAGACCGCTGAGGTCGTCCTCGATGGCTAAATCTAGGTTGACGACTACCCTGTCCATGGGGAGGAGAGGAGCACCTAGGCATAGTGAGGCGCGGAGGCGACGTTGGCTTGGGTTTCTTTTGATAAGGGCGTTAAGTAGGCTTGTCATTGTCAAGATACCCCTTCAGTTGTAGCGAAGGAGTTTTGGTTTTTGCATAGTCTTGTTTCGCGAGAAAAATGTACTCTAAAAATAACAAAAAAAAAGGCTGTGAAGCCTGAACAAAACTTCCGTTCTGCAATATCGTGATAACCCCTTAGATGAAATTGCTGGCCTCGACATGGCACCTGCCTCCCATCACCCATCAAACCTACCCAAAGCATCCATCACGTGCAACGTCATTTCCGTACTAGCGCAATCCCCACGCGCATCGCCATCGCAATCCAGCATCGGCATTGCCAACATTCCCCAACAACCTGTTTTTCTTTCCGCCCAACCACTCCCACATGCATCTCCCAACCACCGCAGATCCAAGAATTGCGGCTGAACTCGCCATCGCAAGATCGGTTGCGCGAAACGGGTGGCGGTGGCAAAAAATGCACAACACCGCACTCAAGCGAGCCGAGGTGCGGCGATATGGTGGAAAACCGGGGATGAGGCGATGTCGTGCTGCGGATGTACCTGTCTATCTTCCTGTCGCATCACTAGAGGGAACTAAAGACCCTAGAGGCCGGGACATTTGTTGATCACCGGCGAATAATGAGAAAAAGCAAATACTGTGCTGCTGTCTTTGCGGTACGCGGTACGCGGTACGGAGAGTTTGGGAAATGGGCGAGGCCAGGCCAGGCCCTCGAACGTGAAATTGATGGGGAATGACGTAACCGCGTGATAGCGATTGCTGGACTAACTCCACCAAACCTTCTTTCCCACGGCTCTTTGCAGTGATGCATGATGACAGGAAGGTTTTTGGGTGGGTGTGCTGGGGTTAGCTTGGATCGTGGAGTTGGGCATTGTTCTTGCTGTTTGGTTGGCGTGTACCTGATCGATCACACGATAACTCACTACCACCACGATCACTACTACTGCTGCCAACTAGCACATGTGTGCATGAACCTACTTACGCATGTCGGCACGGCGCAAAACGCGTATAGTCTGTATATCGGATACGCATAATCAGACGCCGAAGTTGCCGGCTGGCGATGTGTTGATCCACGCGGGCGACTTGACGAATCAGGGGAGTTATGCGGAGTTGAAGAGGACGGTGGAGTGGCTTGAGCGGCAGGAGTTTGAGGCAAAGATTGTGGTTGCTGGTACTGTATGCCCTTGGTCTTGTTCAAGCGGTACAGATAATGGAAAAGAGAGTTGCTGATGAGATGTGACAGGGAATCACGACATTACGCTCGATCCTCCATTTTTTCGAGCAAACGAAGGGTCGTGGAAATGGCCTGCGCCGCAAGACACAGAAGCGTGTAGGAAGTTGTTGACGGAATCCAAGTCCATCGTCTACCTTGAAAATGACTATACGGAGATACGATTGAAAGAACGGGGAACGTGCTTTACCATCTTCGGGAGTCCGTGTACGCCCAAGCAGCAACTTGCAAGTTGGGCTTTTCAGTACAAACCCGACGAAGCAGAAGAAGTGTGGAAAAAGATTCCAAATGAAGTGGATATCGTAGTTACGCATACACCGCCCAAGGGGCGATGCGATGGAGTAGTAGCAGCAACAAGCGGACAGAAAGACAGAATAAGGGAAGGATGCCCAGCGTTGTTAAGAAGATTAGAGCAAGTCAGGCCGATCTTGAACATCTGCGGCCACATACACAACGGACGAGGCGTGGAGACGATACAATGGAGAGAAAGACATGCATTACTACATCACCAACCCACGCCCATGGATATCGGTACCCTAGTACCAAGCGTGCAGTTCTGGAACGACCCAGGAGCCTCCAACAAGAAACTTTCTCTAGTTGATTTGACGACGGGCATGCAGGTGAGAAGAGGGCGTGGTTCGGGCTGCGACCACCATGCGAGCTTGACACGTCAATTGCAGCCTGACTCGCGAGGGGACCGTCTGGAAGGCCAGCCTGATGCGACGTCTGCACCGGATCAGACAGGGCGTCAGCCCCCGTCCGGTGGTGGTGAGAAGCTTATCCCGACGGCACCAGCGAGCCTCACTGATGTTGCCCTGCGGGACAGCGAGGCGCTGTGGAGAGGGATTAGTGGAGGAGGACGGCGAGGGGGCGATGCAGATGAGCATCCAGATGAGAGCGATACCGGACATGGGTGTCCTGACGAGGCTACTCAGCGTCTCGCAGAACGACAGAGGGGTATGCCTCCACCAGGGACGGAAGAACGCAGCCAGACCATGGTGATCAACGCAGCGTATCTGGGTCCGAGGGTCGCTGGCAGAACGTCGGTTGCCTACAATAAGCCGATAGTCGTCGATATGGAGTTGCCTGTATGGGGCTCTTTGGGACCACGATAATGCTAGCTAATGTGGGATGACGGATCAACTGCAGCGTACCTGTCCCAAATGATCTCATTCCTAGCCAGCAAAGCACACTTGTCGAGCCAACACCTACATCATACTGCTGCTGGTTTATAGCACATTCGTGTCCTACTCAGTGCGGTGCGTGCAATGGACGAGGACCACGTAGGAGGACGTGCTTCGTGGGCTTTGTGAGCTGACCATGTCACGATTGGGCGTGACATGCAGAAGTGCCCCGCCTTACCCCCGCATAAGCGTATCTTATCGTCCTATCAAGCCACGGGCTAACGTCTGCCATCGGGACGGATCGAGTGGCAGCAAATCTATCCTCTCTCACATGGCTTGGGACGGAGAGCAAAATATTGCCTGACGGGCGACGCAACCGCCGTGCCCTGACCTGAGTTGCGACGGGCCACAGGGATGCCCCCCATCGTGCCTCGAGTGATGTGCGGAGGATGTGCATTGATGGGTGCCGAAGGCCCGGTGACTGCTACCGTCTGAGCTGGGGAACACATGTGTCTCGGACGCTGCAGAGGATGGATTGCCTGGGTGGATCTCGAATGTGACGAGTTGGCTGTCGGTGCTGGCTTTGTGCTTCACCTGTACCCTTGGGGTGCAGCTGGATTCGTCATGTCTTGCAAATGTTCATGGTGGGGTTGGTGAGCATTTCACGATTGGACAGCAGGTGTGGTCACATCGTGCTTCCACGCTTCTGGCATGGCTTCTTGGGGCTTCGGTGGTCATGCAGGCCATGCTGGGGGTTGGTCCTATCAGCAGCGGTTTTGGCGCCAGTCTCGAAACGGGCCATGTGGAGGGCGCTGGGCGTGATTGGGCTGTGTGTTTTGCAGCCGCCGTGGCCGACGACGAGACGTGCAGCGGTGCTGGTGCTCATGTGAAGCAGCGGCTTGCGCGATGCGATGCGATGGGCGTGGAGCGGGGACTAGTCAGCGTCGAGTCGAGGCTGTGACGCTCTTTTCAGCCGGCGACGAGTTTGGTACAAAGCAGACAAGTGCGAGGCACAGGGATGCCCTCGACGGCTGTCGAAGCCCTGGGGCTCTGTGCATGAGAGCCTGATATAGTCACAACTGCACCCCCAAAGCGTGCAGGCTGACTGCTCTCCAAATCCATATTACCCGTTGCACACATTGTTCTATTCTTCGAAGCCGCAATCTTATTCTTCTCCCACGATTCTTAAAGTCCACACTACGCGGTGCGATCCCGACTACCGCCCGCCGGATCCTATTGGCATTTTTTGGCACGGTTGACGGTGACGTCGCAAAGCCATCCACACCGCAACTTACGGCCTGCAAGCAGAGCCATCGCTGCCGGGCAACGAGCAGCGCAGTCGCGAGCACAACACAGCCTCACTCCTGTCCCTGACCGCCGGCCGAGCACTACAATTCCTTTGTCCAGCGTCTTTGATCCGAGTTTTTTTGTCTCTTCGCCACGTTTCCGCCATCTTCGATCCGCGCTGTCTGTGTCCCTGAGCGACCCACAATTCCTTAGGTCAGCCGATTTCAAGCAAGCCATCCTCGTCAGGCCGTGCAGGAACACCCGCACGCTCCGTCCGCTCTGCTCTCACCACGGCACATACTGCACCCGACTCTCCTTATAGGGCTCCCACACCGTCGCCTCGCCCAAAGCCCATCGCTCCTGCCCTTGCTTTTGCTGCGGCCTGCCAGACATCCGCCCAACACCGCCACAGGCTCGCTTGCTCCTCCACTCGCTGCATTGCCCGGATCCGCATGTGTCAGGCCTGAGTCGCAAGCAGTCGTTGCTGTCACACTATAAGAGCTATTCCACACCCCACACCCGCCCAGCAATCCTCTCCCCACACCGATTGCCGCCATGGACGACCCCCTCCCCGATCACTACAAGGCCCTGGGCGTCGCCAACACGGTCGACGCCGCCGTTATCAAGGCCACCTACCGCAAACTCGTCCTCAAGTGCCATCCCGACAAGGTCACCGACCCCGCGTTGAAGGAGCAGAAACAGGAGGAGTTTCACAACATCCAGCAGGCCTACGAGTGCCTCATTGACGACGAGAAGCGGAGCAAGTACGACGCGCAAATCACGCTCGACAAGCTGCGCAAGGAGAAGGCGGCGCGAGGAGGTGCGCCGCGCGACAGGACTGCACGCTTCGACGTCCCCACATCAGGCGGTGCTTCCTTTGCCGCAAACGGCCCTTCGCGATACACCACCGAGTACCGCGCTCCCAGAGCGAGCGAGGAAGACGACCGCTACCACGCACGATACCACGCCCAACCCTCAAAACCCACATCATCCTCCAGATCCACTCGCGAGAAGGAGTCCAAGAGCTCGCGACACGTCAAAGAAGACAGATCGCGCTCAGATCGCGAGAAAACGCGTGCCAAGGAGACCCGAAGCGACCGCAAGTTCACCCAAGTCGACAGTGAGTCATCGGGTGACGAGAAGGCGCGCTACGAGGCAGCCTTCAAGGCCCGCACTGAAGAGGATGCTCGGCGCAAGGCAGAAGAGCGCCGCACCTATGAAGACAACCGATATGCCGGCACCACCACCCACACTGTCCCTGCTGCACGCAAGA